ATTGGCCCACCTCTCAAGCCTGTCAAGTTATTTTAAGAGTATGCTTTGGAGTATGCTTTTTTTAAACTGTTGATTTCCCTGTATTTCAGCAGAAGGAGCTTGCTCAGTGTTTCTCCTCTTTTTCTGTTATTTTTATTTGATTATAAGGATTAATTGATAGATGGTTTGCATTGGCAGAAGGACATCTTGTGACTGACTTTATTCTGTATGGTTAAGTCTGAAGACTTCCCGTGCCCAAGAGAAGGATGCCCTGAGGAAGTTAGATCGTCTGAATGACTACGAGCAGCAGATTGAAACGCTGCGGGATGAGATTTCTATCCTGGATGCCCAAAAATCTGTTCTCCAGAGCAGGTAGGAGTGTTATTCAGAGAAGTCACTGAATCAGAGAAGTTGTTCATGTTAGGTAGCATGAATTCCCTGCTCATTTTAAATTAAAGCATTAATACAAACTAAGCTTTTGTACTTTGTTGTAAAGCAACATAAACTCTCTAACTGATTTCTCCTACTGCCCAAATGTTTTAATTTCAGGCAGCTGTATTAAGTTTCTGGAAAAACAGCAAGAGAACAGCTTTACAAAATACATTGAGAGCAACTGTACTGGATAAAAAGAGATAGTTAGGTTTTTTAAGTTCTCTTTGAATATTTTACCATTACAGAGCAGAATGCGTTGTTATGTTCTCATTTGTTTGAATTTACAACTCTTCAGTGGTACTAGAAGAGGAGTAAATCTCCAAAATATTACTAGTTAAAAGTGTGTTTCCCTGGGACAAAGTGCCTGGCTGTACACACTTTAGGAATTACTTTGATTTTATTGTTCAGGTTCTAGCCCATAAAATGTATTGACACAAATGTCTTCATATTAGGCTAGCCAGCTACAGCTTTACTTCTTTAATTATATTGACTCAAAACCTCAGTGTACCTTGATAATTAAATTGTCACAAAACTCTGTACACTAGGCAAAAGCATCTGAGGATGGTGAAGTGACCTTATGCTTCTTTACCTGTCTGTCATAGGCTTGCACGGAGCTCCTCTCCTTCCCCAAGGCGCGGTGAGAGCAGGTCATCTAGTCCACTTCCCCTGAGGAGCTGCTCACCTGGCCGAGCCAGACGTACAAATGCTTCGCGTCGCACCTGCCTGGTAGCTCGCTTTGGTGACATTTATGCTCAAGAACGTGTGGATGCAGAGACCATTTTGAGGACGTACATCAGTGACTTGGAGATGGTCCAGAGGATAATATACATTGCAGCTGTGGTAAGAAAAAAATAACATTTATTGTTTTACAGACCAGAAGTGTTTTATAAAATGTTATGGCTGGATTGGATTCAAATTAGCATTTCTGTAAAGTATGAAGAAAACTTATCTTCTTTTTTCCCTTTTGATTTTTCTTTTTTCCCCTCACACTTTTACATTGAACTCTCAATTTAGTGCCCATTTCTGTCTGTCTTGTCCCAACATTATAACAGGGTCAGTAATCTAAAAAAAGGGATGCATAGGAAGACTGAATGGCTCTGAAAGGTAGGTTCCTGCACTGAACAACACTGCCTCATTTTTGTATGAATTATTTTGAGAATACTACATTTTGGAAAGTTAAAAATCTTTCCATATCATGCTCCTCTCTTGCCTGTAACTATGTGCTTTTCTGGTCTTAGAATCATAGAATAGTTTTTGTTCAAAGAGACCTTTAAAGGTCATTGTAGTTTTAAAAGAAAGCCACTAGACAGCCTATTGTTTAAAAAACCTCATGGGCTGAGGCAAGGACAGGGAGGGCTCACTCACCACTTCTGGTCATGGGACGTGACTTGGGAAAACAAGAAAAACCAATTGAATTTATTAACTATTTACAATCAAAAACAAAAGCAAGATAATGAGAGAGAGAACTACATCTTAGAAAGGTCCTTCTCCCCCATCCCTCCCTTCTTCCCAGGCCCAAAGGCTTTGTTCAACCTTCTCCCCCCTTCCACGGTGGCACAGGGGGGCAGGGAATGGGGGGTGCAGTCAGTCTTCCGCTTCTTCCTCCTCAGGGGAGGGCTCCTCACAGTCTTTCCCTGCTCCAGCATGGGGTCCGTTCTCACAGGAGAGTCCTTCACAAACTGCTCCAACCTGAGTCCTTCCCACACAGGGTCACAGTCCTCCGACAGCTGCTTGTCTCCGGCGTGAGTTTTCCTCAAAATTCACAGCCTCCTTTGGGCACAGCTACTTCAGCTTCTCATGGACTCCATGCTGCAGGGGAATCTCTGTTCTGGGGCACCTCCTTCCTCTTGTTTTCTTTTCACTGACTGGAGTGTCTGCGTAGCTGTCTCTCTCAGATCCCACTTCTCTCCACCGCAGGTTCTTTTATTGTCTCCAGAGGAAGCTCACTCTCGGGTGAGCCACGGCGGAGGCTTGGGCTATGGCAGGTCAGCTTACAGGAGAAGCTGGGCAGGCAGCTGGATGGCCGGGTCGGTCCGCCTGGGCCAGGCCCTGCCCGGGGCCACGCCCACCCCCATGTTCTGTGCCCCCTCTTAAATATGTCATTTGCAGAGGCGCTGGTCGGCTCAGCCCTGGACAGGGGCAGGTTCAGCCTGAAGCTGGGGAAACTTCCAGTTTCTCACAGGGACCATCTTGGTAGTACTCCTTCCCCCGCCCCTCAGGCTACTAAAACCTTGGAGCCGGGGGTGGAGGTGAACTCTTAGCAGTCACTTACAGGAGCCACCGCTGTAACCCCTCTTTTACTACAGGAGCAGACCTGGAGCTAGGGGAACTCTTAGCAGTTACTTACGAGGTCCCCCACTGTAGCCCGTCCCTTGTAGCTCCACCAACCTGACCTTGAATGTTTCCAGGGCTGGGGTATCTACCACCTCTTTGGGCAAACTGTTCCAGTGTTTCACCACCCTCACTGTAAAAAATGTCTTCCATACATCTAGTCTGAATCTGCCTTCTTTTAGTTTAAAACCATTGCCCCTTGTCCTATTGCTACAGACCCTACTAAAAAGTCTGTCCCCATCTTTCTTTTAAGCCCCCTTTAAGTGCTGAAAAGCTGCAGTAAGGTCTCCCTGCAGACTTCTCTTCTGGAGGGTGAGCAATACCAACTCTCTCAGCTTTCCTCATAGGAGAGGTGTTCCAATCCTCTGATAATTTTTGTGGCTCTTCTCTAGACCCGCTCCAGCAGGTCCATGTCTTTCCTGTGCTGAGACTCCAGAGCTGAATGCAGTTCTCCAGCTGAAGTGTCATGAGAGCAGAGTAGAGGGACAGAATCACCTCCCTCAACTTGCTGGCTGTGCTTCTTTTGATGCAGCCCAGGATATGGTTGGCTTTCTGGGCTGTGAGTGCACATTGCTGGCTCACATCCAGCTTTTCATCCGCCAGTACCTCAAAGTCCTTCTCTGCAGGGCTGCTCTCAATCTCTTCATCCTCCAGCCTTTATTGATACCTGGGCTAGCCCTGACCCAGGTGCAGGACCTTGCACTTGGCTTTGTTGAACCTCATGAGGTTCACAGGGTCACTTCTCGAGCTTCTCCAGACCCCTCTGGATGGCATCTGTTCCCTCAAGCATGTCAGCTGCACCACTCAGCTTGATGTCATCTGCAAACTTGCCGAGGGTGCACTTGATCCCACTATGTCACTGTGGGAAGCTTTTCAGTTCTGACAATGATGATACTGAGTTAAATTCATCCTCTCAGATCACTGATAAAAATTTGATCTCAGTCTCCGGAATTTCAGTAGATGTTCTTTATGTTTGCAGGAGTCTTTTCATGCAGCAAAGATGGCGTATAGGCAGTTTAAAATACGTGTAAGAGAGACCCTGTCTCTAGGTCACTCTGGGCCTGAGTCTCTTGAAGACGCTGTCCTGGACTACATACTTCGTCATGAGGATCTGTATGATGTTCAAGCCAGTGTCAATGTAAGTCAAGGGCAGATGGGGAAATGACTTGTTGATCTATTTCAGTGGCTAATAAATTAGGAGTGTGTAAATTAGAAATGCACTGTAACCTGAAGAAGGAAAAAAGTTTATTGCATGGATTTGATGTCTTGTAGCAGTTTATTTTCCAAAATAATATTATGATATGGCCCAGCAAGCACTTGTTTTATTTGCCTGTGACTAGAATGTCTCTGTCTGCCAAAATATTTTTGGCAAGATACAGTGTAACTGTTTTAAACAAATAAATATGAGCTAAATTGCATATTTTTTCTGAAATTCTGTGCTCTACTGAAAAGCTGCATCTCCTTCCTAAGACTGATGTTAATGATGTAGCTCATACTTTTTTCTAGAAGAACAGTGTATTCTTTCTGAAGCTAGTATTTTCTGGGGTAGCCTACGACAACATTGCTGGAAGCTTCTTATACTGATATTCATAGAAAGCTGAGAATATTTAGGAGAGATTTCCATAGTTGCCAGTGAATAAAAGTGTTAGTGAGCTCAAATTACTCAATTGTGTTTATTTTTAGGAAGTAATTCGCTCCATGAACATCAACCCAAAGATTTCATTTCCACCAGAAATTGATTTCATTGTGATCAGCAGTTTGATTCGAGAGTTGTGCCGTGTGGCTTTTTCGATGCAAACACTCATTCCTCCTCTTGATGTTGCTTTTGGTACTGATGGAGAACTTTTCAGTGAGACCAAGTAAGAACTCTTTATTTTCAGTCAGATTCTTACTATTAAAAAAAATGCATCAGGCTGTATAGGCTGCTTCTTTCCTACTTAATATAAAGGTAATAATAATGATGATAAACATTCATTTGGGGCATATATTCCTGTTCGGTAGTGAAATTGGTATGTCTTCAAGGTTTATGATGGTATATAAGTGCTGGGATGTAGACCAGCGTTGACAGCTTTTTTTTAATGTACAGCAGAGCAACTTTCTGGATAAACTTCAGTCTGTAGAGCATATTTAATTTTTCCTTTAAGAGGAAAATTATCATCAGCTTTCCTTTCCCTGTTTAGTCTCTGTCTGCCTCCAGTGTTTCTAAAATGGATGCATCTTTGTTCCTCCTTTCTGGCCTGTTTTGTAGAAGTCATGATTACTGAGATCTGGCAGTTGGTGCTTGATACCAGGATCATCAGCATGTGTGCTGTGACCTCCAGGCTGTGGCTGCTGTACAACAAATAGATCTTAATACACTCCCACCTCTTCTGGTTTAGAGCTGAGCAAAAGGAAAAATGCCTTTAAAAAAAGGGAATTTTGTGTAAAAAATGCACACCATAACACAGTTTTTCTTTTTTGCATAGGGTCAGGGTTGGCTGCTTTGTTAGTTGGTGGAAAACTGTAGGTTACTTTCATGCCTTCAAGAAAACTAATGGGATTGATAGCTCCAAAAAAATTGCTCTCAGAAGCAAGAAAAGCCACACCAATAAGGTGATTTCTAATAATAATTTAAAATAAAATGGAACCCAGATGGGGAAGAGCTTGAGAAGCCAAGGAGACAAATAGAGAGGATAAAAGCAGCCCTTCAACAGGAGAGTGCAAAGTCATACGTGACTAGTTAATGATCCTGTCCAAATACTGGGCAGTTAGCTATTTGAGACCCAAAGCTATTGGCTGAATTAAGAAGGCTGCAATGCTATGGTTTAGTTTTGGGATGCTTTCTCCACCTACTTCATGTGTGTGGCCTTCAAAAACCAGGTGTAATGTGTTTATACTTGCTGCTGTGTGAGACATATGCACACATCTATCCATCTGTATAGGTGAATATGTGGCACAGATATGTTTATATGTATAAACATATATGTGGTACACAGAGATGGAGCAAAATCTATGGAAATTAAAGTAGCTCTGTTATGTGTGATACCATTCTGTAAAAGGGCTGGCCAAACCTCACTGTATGCTATATCTTCCTCCATGCAGAGCTTGATGCCTCTGTTTACAGCATTGTTTTATGTAAATTGCTATTGTATATACATCAGTGATGTATATTGCTATTTTTTATTTCAGTTATTTAGTGTTTGTTTTGAGTTTGAATCCACAAAACCAGGCATGTATTATTCAGCCAATGCTGCAGACTTAGGGAGGTAATATGTATCTGCTGTGTTAATACAAACCTTAAAAATATTTTTTCTTAGCTAAAAAGTCACTGTTTCGTCACCAATATCTGAGGATCTTGCTAATAAAATTGCTTCTTATGTCTCATAAGATAGTAGGATTTAGCTTTATAATTGAGATAGAGTATTTCCATATTATAGGGGTCTTGTTTTAGCAAGATATTTCAGGAAGATGAGGTGACTATGCTTGCCAAAATGCTGCTCAGGAGATTTAATCTGTCAGTGGACCCAAGAACCATGGCTTGTGTGGGGCTTGTGCAAGAATGTGGTCTAGTGGCCTTCTGAAATATGAGATGGGTTTATTGGACTGTCTCTTGGTATGAGTAGAAAGTATGTTTTGCTAAGTCTTACAAATGCATTTCTTCTACAGGTTCACTTGAAGAATGCTTATTTTTGTGATACAGAAATATTGTCAAGAAAGATGTCTATGAGCTGTAACTAGTGTTCTGCTTTTTATCACCATTGATGACTTGAAGCATCCTGTTTATCTTTTGGCACTTATATGTAGATATTTCTTGTACTGTGTTTCAACAGGTACCATCGTAGTTTTGACTCTGATTTCACAGCTGCCTTGGTGGCCTATCATGTATGGCCTGCTCTGATGGAAAATAATGTTGTAATTGTGAAGGGAGAGGCAGTCACAAAAAGAGGAGCTCTGGTATGTACTTTTGTTAAGGGACACATTAAGGGAAGTCATGGGATTTAAACACTTTTAAAATCTAAAAAGATAAATTCCTCATTGTTCCCTATATGGCTGGAGTTTTGTATATCAAGTATTAGTTAGGCTTTAGTGCCTCTTCCTCTATTTAGGATGAATAGTTCCATTTGCCTTAATGTATTTGTTACACAGATGTATGATTGTTGGTAGAGCCTGTTCTAAGGAGAAAGTTTACTGTGTTTACTCTCTGTCCTCCAGCCTTGTCTCCAGCATGGCAAGTCTGCTTGCCAAGTCTGTGTTTATTAAATGCCCTCTCTCAAAAGAGGTTTGTCAAACTCTTCTCTTGTAGTGGTCTCACAGAAGCAGAAGTAGAGGCAGAAGCCGCAGCCGTAGCCCTAGTCCTCTTCTATCTCGTCATGTAAGTCCCAGCTGAATGCTTGTAACATAAACAGCATCAAGTATTTTAAACTCAGAATGTAGGCAACCTTTTAAAAATGCTGATGTGCCACATGTACATTTTAATTCTAAGAATAATTGCCTTTGCTGGATCTGGAATGAGGTGAACCTGAACTGACAGGTAGTTATTGCCAGGTATAATTATCAGTGGAAATACTGTATGAGACCTAAACCATAGTTAAATTCTCAGAATTATCAACTGTGGATCTTGGAATGCTTTCTCCCTACCTCCCCCTTCTGAATAACTAGTTGCATCATCTGTAAGTGTTTTAGTAATCTTGCAGTACAGATGCAGCACCTGGTCCCTGCCTCCTGGAAGTACTATTCTAAATTTATTCTCTATTGCCTCAAAGGAGGAGAAAATCACTGTAAGGTGGGCAGGAGGGGAAGAACTGAGGTGGTGCTAGTAAGATATGTGAAACCTTAGAGTTCTGCATATGGTATAGTTACACAATATTTTAAATTATTCTGCAAAAATCATGTATATTTTTCTAATTGTTAGCCCATCTTATTAAATTGACATAGGTGCTCTCAACTTAAAATGTGAATATGGAAAATGTGAGAGGCTTTGGGTAAGAGTCACTTCCATGAGCGTGCAGGGTGTGAAAGAAAAACTAGGAAGTTGTTGAATTTGACTTTGTAGCAGTGGAGCTGCACTGTCAGAGTAACATGTGCAAGTTTTCTGAATGTTGATGGGTCCCCAGGTGCCTTTCTTGGGTACAGTTCTTTAGCACACCTGAATTTCTTTTTCTGTTTTTCTTGCAGTTGTCTCGAGGCCATAGTTCTTCACCACGGAGAAGCGGAAGCCCAAGTAAGTGGGCGTATTAGTTCATAATGACTCATAGTTTTCACATTAAGCCCTTGAATGACTGAGCAAAGAGACAAAATAACATGCTGAAGGTCTCTGATTCTAAATTATTTGTCTAAATCTTATTTTTAAAATGGGTAGCCCCTTTCTTTTCTGTGTGTGGAAAAAGGCTGAAATTTCTGACTTGGAGGAGAACTTGTTTTTCACTCTACTCAGACCACTGTCATGAGTTCCCTGCTGGTTGCCTTTATTTCAGCCAGTTCTCTAGTAAGTAAAACTTGTTCTCTCCCCCATGCGAGAGACAGTTAGCTGCATGCCAGCTGGCTCCATGCCTTTCAAAATTCAGATAGAGATAGCTAAGTGGCGATGGTGAAGTGAGAGGTTTCAAACAGTATGAATGTGTGCCCATCTTGAAGCCAAGCCAATTCAGAGATTTAGAAAAAAATTGTTGTACTGAAATGTGCCTTTTTCTTCAATAGGGTGTTAACTGAACATGTTCCTGTGATTCAGTACATCCGGATCCAACAACTTCACTGGTGCCTTTTCTCTTCAAGAACACCTCAAATCTTGCAATAATTTGAATGGCAATTGTCAGACCAAATGGAGTTTTTGTTCAGTGTGGGTTTTAGGATTATAGAAGGCTTATTTATAATTTTAGAAACTAATTCAGCCCTTCTAGTTAAAAAACAAAACAAAGCGAAAAATCCCCAAACCACCAGTGCATGCAATAGAGGATCGTACTCATTTGGCAAAATTTGCAGAGCACTGAGGAACCGATGCTGTAATCCTGCAGATGGAGATGGAATTATTGCATCCAAAATGTTTTCCACCGATACCAAACAATGCAGTTTATCTTGATAGGATGTTTAATATAACCAAACTGGTGAATGTTGCAAAATGTTGAAGTTAGCTGTTACTTGAAAAAAATTTCGTTAGCTGGTGCTTATTTAGAATTTTAGAAAACAGCAATAATCTTAGGATGTGCCAGTCTCACATAGCATCCCTTTAAATATGTCCTTGCGGTAAAGTGAATTTTCTAATTACAAGGCAGAAGTTGCACAGAATAGTCGTAAACTGCCAATACTCCACAATCCCCAGAACTTCATTGACATTTATTTATGAAAGCACAGGTGTGTACTTGTGTGTGGCTTGGCCCCGAGCCAAGGGCTAACCCGCCACATTCCTATCTCAAAAAAAAAACCCCAAAACAAACAAACAA